GAAGTTGACCAAAAGTGACACTATTAAATATGCAGATGTAGCTGTTCTGGAAAAAAATCAGTCCCCACCACAACTCTACCAGAGATTCAGCTCTACAATCAGATTAAAACAACACCTACCAACACCTTGTCCATTAAAACATAACGCCAGCTATATAGTATGCAATGATTTCAGGCAAAATAACAATCAGACTTGAATGCCACGACACAACAAGCAACAAAACACAACAAAAACATTTGATTCAATAGATTAGCTCTCACAATCTGGATGAATATATGCAACTAACAATCGGCTAAAAGATCTTAAAAGGAATAAAACTTTCTAGCCAACCAATTACAATGAAAAGGCTGTCACCATCCAAGGAATGAACCGAAGAATGAACTATGAAGAAACCACCTGATATGGAACTAAATATGTCTATCATATCATGGATAGGTGGGAGACAGACCTGAATTGGATATCTCATCTACTCTTGGTGCCAATCCAAAGAGCCAAAATGTTCTGCATGGTGGTTGAAGCAATTACATACTCAAAAGGTCACTAGAGGACCGAGTCTTGAGGTGCAAAAAGAAACGAACATATATGAATTGGTATTGATACATGGCGTATTGTTTAATTTACATGCCTTCAGGTATCCTGTCATATCAGTGCTTCAGCAATAAGTCATGTAATCAGACAAATCCAATTACCAAATTTACATCCAGGTTGCTTGGCCGAAATGTTGAAATTTTAAATTCAAGTGAATTCCCTGAGATGAATCTTTCTTGGAGAATGTCAAAATCAACAAATGTAGATCCATTTGTTTTGCAGCCAATATTCAAACTCTTTTTGCTAGAAGAGAATACCCCATTTTGTTCTTTTTCTTTCATATATGTCAATGTTTTCATCATCATCACTGTTGTCATGACCATGAAAACACTGACTTACAAGACTTAAGCCTAGATACTTCTCCTGAAATCAGTCAAACAGTGTACTACCAATACCCTAGCTCATTTTTTTGGCAAATGAATAAAGTACCTATTTTTCAATTTCTTCAAGCTTCCGGACTACTTGTTTAATATCAGGTCTTAAAGTAGGTGAAGGAGAGCAACAAGCCATGGCGAGCTGAAAGAATTTGAGAATGACTTCTTCAGTAACTGGATTTCTCTGCTCACTGCTGTTTCTTAGAAGTATGTCCGGGTGGTACAGATCTGCAATTCTATGATCAAGAACTGCATTCCGCATGAAATTTGGTAGATAAAAATCCTCATCAGGGGTTGGCTTCTCATTAATTGGTTCCTTTCCAGAAAGTAGTTCAAGCAAGATTATGCCGAGGCTGTATATGTCAGTCTTTTCACTTGCATCCCTCATTTTGATAAGCTCTGGAGCTTTGTACCCCTGAGCTGCCAAAGCTTCAAGCATTTCTTGGCCAGTGGTCAGATTCAAG